TTATTTCACCTACTGGTGGAACTGTAATTCTATAGTTTTTATTTCAGATAACTTAGAAATCTGCAGCCAACCCATTCACCCTTTTCCATGTTGAAATCAGTGCATATGTTCCAGTTAAAACTAGTTCCTAGTTTTCTTCGTTGGCTTTTGAATTATTTACCGATGACTAGTAGCATTCAATAATTATTATAGTATTTGTTCAGCAATGAAATTCCCCTCACAATGAAGCGCGTCTTCAAAGGATGAACATTTATTTTCTAATGTCAGCCCAACTTTGTTAGATAGCTACTATTAAAAGAGATAATTTACGAGATACCCTAATGAATCAAATCCATACTACTCGCAAGTAATTAATTGACGGTGGCATGAAATTATCGCAAAACAATCTTTCTCTGAGATAAATAACAACAAAACCATATCAAAGAAAGTTATAAGTGTTAGAAAAATCCAAAGTGTGGACGAAATTCGTCAAATTAGACTTTAAGCTTCATTGTGGATTGGTTTTTGTCTTACTATTGATAGCTTGGGGAAGGCTTTTTATCATGCACAAATATATTCAAATAACTAAATAACACACTAGGGATCAAGAATTTAGTTCCAATCCAACAAAAATAGACTTAGCATTGTTTTGAATTACTGATACATAAAAATATTTCTGTGCTTTAGTTTAACACCCTCTCAACTTGGGTGAATTTATTTTATAGCCCAATTTTATTATACTATAATATTTAATAGCTTCGAATTAAAGGTTACTAGGCGTCAAAGACTAAGCATTCCTTACATGATTGGGTGAAGAAAAATCTCCTTGTACTTCAGCTTGTAATACAGGGGTTGGACAAGAATTAATTACTAGCCATCAAACACGTACTAAAACATACAATTTAGGGATAACAGAAAATAGCAAATAAAAGAGTGTACACAGTTGCAATTTTAAATCCCGCAATTACTTTGAACTGAATGGTTAAAGCAGATTTTTTTGTACGGAAAAGAAAAGCAATTACTCTACAGAATCTAGTGGTATAAAGAAAGTTTCTCTTTACTATTCGGGTCCTGAATGGAAGTTTCAGTAGCGATGGTGTCTCCTTTTTCAAAAGGGGATTGGATGCTTGCGTTACACCTAACCTTCCCTCTTTCCCGACCAAGTGTACTTTCGGAGTGCGCCAGTCTGAAAATGAACCCGAACCTCCCGCATAGTTAAACAGTGAAATACCATGAATTAATCGGAAAATATAATTTGTGAACATGTGAAGACGTAGTTTACACAATCACGATATAAACTGAAACCTGTCTAGTTGGCTTTAGTTTTTTCACGCTAATTAATCATTCTATGGTCACAACATTGTTTCTGTTTAGTTGAAGATTGCAATGACCAATCGACAAGGAAATTCAGGCAAAGCCATATATGACTCCGAAACCTGTTATAGTACCTTAGCCAACCTAGCTGATAATTCGGAGTGAATGCCTATGAACACCTCTGTTAGTCCATATAAGCACCTTCTGTTTTCCAAAATCAGTAAGCACTATAGGCTCTATTGTTCTGATTCAATAAGACTATGCGAATAGATAAAAGTAACTAAAATGTAGTTAGTAGACAGCTATTAATTCTTTTAAGGCTTTATCCATCGTCGCAACCACCTCATTTGGAAGCGTATCTTACATTTTTGATTACTCTGATGTAGTATGCCATAACATAATTTCACCAAGAATCAAAATCCTATTCCATCAGGTCCTCTTCATTTCACTTGCTTCCACTTGTAGGCGAACTATCGTATTCAAAGAAGTAACTGGATAAAAATTTAAAACAACGCAAATCTTGAATCTTTTCGTTAGATAACATACATAAACTTCAAACAAGCTATCTGCCAAAAATCAATGAATACATAAGCTATTAAAATTATGAATTCAAATGAATTTTGTTCAATATAATTCCGAGAATTTTCAACACAATATATTTTTATTTATTCATTTATTTATTTTTGATTACAGCTTGATTCCACACCGAATTTTCAGTACAAGTATGGAATTTTCAGCTTGGATATCGGTAGCCCAAATTTCAGGCCGACCATAGATATCGGGTGTGCGCCGGCAGGGGATCGAACCCCGGACCATGTGCATGGTCGGCGAGAGTCCTAACCACTGTGCCACCGACGCACAATGTTGATAACAAAAGTTGTCTAAATCTATCTGCCACAAGAGTATGTTTCTACTGAAGTAGCAATCTGAGAGCCGGCGGTTCAGCAGTAGGATGCTTGCTAACTGAACACGTGAACCGGAGTTCGTTCGCTGACCGTTGCACTCATAAGCCTCGCTTAGTCGTGGCAGTAACCCCAGTGAGGAGAGAAGATTGCACGTGAGGCTAGCAACTACGCCCTATAAAAAAGACAACACCACACTGCTGCTGAATCTTCAAAGCTCAACACTTGGAGATCTATCTTCCACTCGAAAAGCAAAGGAATAAAATTTCTACAGGTTGGTGGCAGTAAAATGATAAATGATCTAGTTTGTTATTCTTGTATATTTGTTTAAAAATGCTTTTTTGTTTATAGAAATTTTAGAAATATCAACTTTTGCAGAAATGACTGTTTTAAAAACTACCTACTTTATTAACGCTAAGATTAATAGCTTCTCATTAGTAAGACGATGACTTTGAATTAAGAGTAAACTAATCATAAAGATTTGTGCCAGTGGTTCAATGGCAGAATATTCACCCAACACACAGGAGGTCCGGGTTCGATTCCCGACTGCCGTACTACCAAAACATATGGTTTATAAGCAGACAGAAACTCGGAAAAGAGATAGCGACCCTTATATTAGAATGACAACGCCACCGCTACTGAAACTTCACTGAGAACGAGAGAGACGAAAAAAATCATAAGGATAGCATACGAACCATACATTGTTACTTTTTATGTATCACAATAAATAAAGAGGGTTATAGAAGCAGGTCGCATGATTAGATTTCTTATCTCTGCAGATAGAAGGCATATGATTTAAGGATAGAAGTTGGCGACAAGATTTAAATCATAATTTGTGCTAATCCCTGTTACATGCCTAGATGTTTCTCAATCTAGTACAAGAGGAGAGTATACAAGTGAGAAGTTATATCTGTTGAATACAATAAACCTAAAATAGCCTGATATAATAAAAAAAACACAATTTAGTCAGCCGCAACGCTGTTTAGTGACACATTGTACATCAAATTTATTTTAAAAATAATAGGTCAAAGATTATATATAATATAACCCCAAGTGTGCACTATAATAGCGTGACCCACATATATCTCTAGTATAAAAAAACACACTTTTAAACTGATGTGTGACACTTACAAGGGCAGAAAAAATGTCCTCTATCTGGTCAGATAATGAGCCATATTATTGTATATAGCTCTGAACACTCATCTACATACACAACCATATCAACTGTAAGGTCATATTTAACAACTGCCACCTATTGATTTCACATCACGGAGTTAACACACCTACGCACGCACATATATATACACACAAATGAAGTAAAGTATTATCATTATCATCATCAATATTGTCATGTGACTTAATGGAATATTTACAAATAGGCATTTTCGTTTTCCGAAAGTGTATTGACACCAAGCAGCAAAATTCATACATTTTTTGGGAGGAAAGATATTTTCCATAAACATAGGCATACAGTATGCCACATAAGAATGACGAAAATTTGGGTTGATAATGTATAAGTAGTGAAAAATCTGATTCCTTTATTTCTTTCGATCCACATACAATTTTATAAACTTGACAGTTTTAAAGGTGAAAAAGAAGGTCATTTGGTTACTAATACATCAGGGAGTGAAAATTAACAAGTCATAATAAAAAGCTGCAGAGTAATAAAATTGTTTTGATTTTTTCCACTCCATACATCCCAAATGGAATATAGGGCTCCAAGCTTCCAAACTTGAAGCTTCAGTAGCCATGGTGTTTTTGCGGAGTAGGGTTTCCAGTCTTGCGTCTACCTACCACCAGCTGGGCAAGGTTTAGATGTGCGCCAGGCAGTGCGACTGGCAAGAATTTTATCACTGGATCATTGACACACTAATTAATAACTAGTTAGACGGTTTTATTAAATATAGGTGTCAAGGATGACAGCTAATACTTCAAAGTGGGGAATATTCATGCTTAACAAAAACCAAACTGAAGCGAAATGCATTTCGGATGCAAACCACAGAGCAGTTTAGTTAAAAGCTGAAAGAACGAAAATTCGCTAAGAGCTAATATTCGGGTGATCACTTTACAAATGCAGCCTATGAAGGATAGTGACACTAGAATGCGTGACACTTATCAAGGTTTAGAAGCACTGTAATAAATTTAAAACGAAGAAGGGAAAGGGACCCTGATGGACTACCAGTAGAATTATTTGCAGAGGAAAGTTTTACATTATTAATCAGATTGTCTAAGTATGGAAGACAAGTGTAACCTCTTTTGAGTGTTCTCAATCTCTGAATGTCCCATAAAAATCTCATTCCAGTGACCCAGTTGAATTAGACAGGCTTAATTATAAGTGATTTGTTTAAATTCTAACCTCTTAGATTACGGAAAAATGTAATCCCATAGACTCTTGAAACCAACCGTATCTTCTATATCTGTGGACAATAATTTACTGATTCCGTCAATTACCTTAATGAAGTGCGTAAAGCTGTGATTTTACAGAGAACTTTCACTCAGGCACTCATATCAAATGGTTTCACTGTAGATATCCTCTGTCACCTTATCAATTAACTTTCCGCACTTTACTGGAGATTCTCCTGCTGATTTAGAGAACGCAGATGACTTGAAAGGAGAAGTGTAAAATGATTGAAACAATTCTGAAATGAAGATAAATAACACTTAACCTAGAGCCAGAGATTCTAAAACTATATAAAATACAGTTTACGGAAATATCGTATCATACAAAAACAAACATGCAACTGAACAATCAAATAAATCAATTAACTTGCTAAACAATCTAGTACTAAATAGACAAAAACTCACCTAGCTTGACTAAATAAGTTAGATTCGCCCAAAGGTGAATAGCCTCCTGCTTTTGATGTCGTTGCAGTATTTGTAGTTCTGGCTGCTTCCGTTGTTGTACTACTAGTAGTAGTCATTGTTATACCTGAGGAAACTGAATGCGTTTGCGATGATGGACAAGTGAGAGATTCTGACTCCCCAGTTGTCCTGCTGGCAGCGGACAGTGGTGACACAACTGACGGTCCATTACTACAGTCTGTGTCATACATAGTTCCAGTGTTAGTTGTGTTGGAAGAAATAATATCGTTATTCGAAGAAATAATATTACTAGTAGCAATTCCAGTTGTAGTAACAGTATTAGGGTGTGAGGTAGAACCACTGTTGTATACTTCCTTTTCAAGAGATCTTGAATAAACACTAGAAGAGCAACTAGATGGAATTATTTGTTTTCCACAGTCCAATTCAAAGTTGTTGTTGTTGTTACTGTTATGATTTGGTGTTGTTATAACACTGTAAGACGAACGTCCGCGACGACTACGGCCACCTCTCATACGGTCTTCACGAACAGCTGGAAAATTGGAATAGAAATAAGAATTAACAAGAGTATTGTTAAGAAGAAAATATGGATAAAATGACTGTATGGAAATGACATGTAAGATGAATCAAATGGATGGTTATGGTAAGAAAGTGGTTGAATGCAATTGGAATATTCACTATCAATTCCATTCTTATTATCCAACACGACACGATCCTCAAAATCTTCAACACTCGACAACTTAATTCTGAATTCATCGTAATTTACACCATTATGTTTTCAAAAAAAACGAATATCCATTAAACCATTAATATTTGTCCTTTATTACTATTATAAACGCTAACTGAAACAGTTGCTTATGTTTAACTGGTAGGCAGTGATACCGGTGTATTAATGTCATCAATTAAAGTTAACTCCTGTAGAAACAGATACGTACATATAGTCTGATGACTTTATAGACATTTACTGCCTAATATACTGATGGACTGTTGGATGTACTTAGACCACCATTCTTTATGAATAATTGAGTATTTGTATATGGTTTCCTCATTTGTAGGCTTGTTAATAACAAGAGTTGATGAACAAGGAAGAGAAGCGAGAGATTATGTATACAAAAGACAGACATCATTTTCTAACTCATTTGCTAACATTTTCACCCATTAGGAGAAAATTCTGTTGTCTGTTATACTAACTGTTAAAATAAATTGAAAAACTTAATCTTTCCATTATTATTTTTACTAAAACTGAGCCACAAGAAACAAAAAATAACTGACCCAAAGAGTAGTATAATTATTATTTCCATTTTAAGTATGAGGCTGCACAAGTTCGATTATTGATCCACAAGTCATGATACACATACACAATGACTGAAGAATACAGACCTATAGTCCTTTTTTACAATGCATTCCCTTCACCTACTACTCACAGCAGACCAATCAAAACAAAGTAATTTATCTGTTGTATGTTATATACTGGAATGAAAAAATAATTAAATTAACCTTCGAATATCTCATTTTTAAAGGAGGGTTTTTAAAAAATCAGTCGACTTCATAGAATTTTTAATCACAAATTTATAGCATCTTGAGAACTAATAAAATCCGAGGAACAATCAACAAATATTTCGTTGTAGGTGGAAACACTTGTGTAGTGTGAAACTATGAACTCAATCTGGTTGCCATACAAAACCGCAAGTTCAATCGCTCAGACAGTGTGACTCTCACCTAATGTTATCAGTTGGCAGCATTCTTCAACATAGCAAATCACTTCATGAAGGTCACTGTTCACCTTCATATAAAAACCCAACACATCTGTGTATACATAATCAAATTGAATTTTTGACTTTTCAAACAACATATTAATTAGTTGAGAGTAGACAAAAAGAAGGAAACTATAGATAACTTAAAACGCTTTTTGAGGGCAGAAGGATAATATTGATTACCGAGTATACAATGAAATATAATTTGATTTAACTCATTCAGTTTATTCCACTGTCGAGTAAATAGTACAAACTAATAAATAAGAGGAAAAAGTGGGAACAAAACACGGTTATAGAAATATGAAAAGAAAGGAAGAGGGAGAAAGTTAGCGATAATCGATCTCATCCATTCTTTACCGTTAAATTTAACTAGGGTTGACGCCCATAAAAAACAGACCTAATTCCAAGGCATTACTATGATACAGCAAGGTTATGTAATCAGGTTAGCATTTTGGTACACCTAAGTAATATGGTCGTTATGACAACAAAGTAAAGCGGAAGAGTACACAAGCAGATGGTCCTAACCACTTAGTAGTATGTAGTACCTTTATATTTAAGATCACCACTACTGATTTCGCTGATAGCGATTAATCGATACACAAATAAAGAAAAGTATAGTTTATGTAGTGTGATCTTCCGACACCATGGCAACCAGATATTTCTTAAGCAATAGGTTCCAGTCATTCTGAAGTGTTCACACCTGTATATACTCGATGAGCCACATTTACTCCTTCCACCTAAAACGTAAACAAATAAATTGTAGGGGGTGACTTAAATTTCTGTAGTGAGTTTAGAAACCAGTGCACTTGAATAATACTAGACTTATCAATATAGAATGATGTGTTAAAATACACTTCCATTTCGACCACGATTTGTTAGTCACATGACACAATGGATGTGTGCATTAACCCGCCAAAGCGGTGAATATTTTATGAAGTTGCTTCTGTAGGCTACTACCGTTACCAGAAACATGAGTATGTTAAAGATAAGTGTGAAAACCTGGTAAGCATTAGTGATGATGATTTCACAGTACGACTTGGAAAAATCCTAAGAATTGTAAGTAGTAATTCGCAGTCAATGAGCTTTATTCACTTAAGAATCCTAATAATAAGATTCAAATTTATATGCAACTATGGATAATATCATCTATTTACCGAAATTCACAAAGAAGTGATTGAATATTTCTACGCCTTAAACAGTTTTCATTGACGTTCCGTTTTTTTCTATTTTACTTACTGACCTTATTCATTAGATAGACAATAAGCTTGAGCACCACCAGAAGGAATGAGTGGGATCAGTTTTGATAATAAACACGATATGTAGAAAAATGAACTTATGAGATGAATTTCCCACAAAAGACGAGTGGGACGTACTAACGAGAACATCTAATGGAAAGGTTAAAATAAATACTGATATCGAAGGATATATATATGTAATCAGATGCCTAGGCTTTTAAAGAAGAAAGATCGAGCAAAAATAATACTACTGTTACATCTAAACCGCGTTACCGACGATGTAACATGATTATCGGTTAATGTCTAATGACGACAACCCTCATATGTAGCTTACATCAAATGTCAGTGTGTTTATGAATTAGTGATAGTCTTACCAACATCAATGGAAACCTTGGTTCAATATGAGTGGAACATGTCGTAGCCAACTAAACTGATGTAGACTGTATGGAATTAGCTAACGTCGATATAAATATATGTGCATGTGCACTAATGCGCTGACAAGTAAAATTATGGAAATACGGAAAACTGTGGTGAAAATACATGCAGAAAAAGATGTACAATGCTGAAAAGTAAATAATTTCAACTGAAGATAGGGTCTACTTTAAGAGATTTTCCTTTCTCTTACTATATCGAAGCCTGCAGCACTTGTAAACGATCTATATTTTTCCATAATGATAACTTCTGGACTTATGAATAATTGCTTTGGCATATCCTCAAGCCACTTCCGAAACCAACTGAATGACTTTTCTTATCTGCACGAAACTATGTATCAAAAGAATACTAAGCAATGGCCAATTCTACTACACATTAATAATATTCCTACATTTTCTCATACACACAGCCACCAGTAGCTACGTCGTGAACATGTATAGATATTAGCACTTTTGTTCCGTCATGCAAACAGGTCATTGCAGAACCTTGGCACCCAAGTGTACCTTTAGTCTAAGGGCCATGATTTGGTGGAAAAATTAATGACATTATAACAAACATAAAACTGTATGAAATAAGAGAAGTTAGTCGGGTGGTGATCAACAAAGATGTTTTGAAAATGACAAAGAGTGAACTTATGTGTACCTTTTTAATTAATTTTGAACCATATCAATCTATGAAATCAAGAATACATTTAATGACAAAAAACGACGTTTTACTCACATCTTACCGGTCAAATTTACAATGGGAAGACATGGTAAACCTGCCTTAATTCTTAACTTATGCATAAGGCATAATTAGTACATAAAATTTCTGTACCATATGAGTCGTGCTAAAATGTATTGATCCACACAACCATTGAACAGTAAAAGCGGAAGACGAAATCTCAAAAAATCCAGTTAAATAAAGAAAAGGAACATAAAAGTGGAAACCACATCAATCTTACCTTCAACTTTCATACCAACATTCAAACACTTTTGAAATCTACAAAAAGCACATCTTTTCCTATGCTGACGATCAACAACACATCTGCCTTTTTCGTTACAGTGATATTCCTTTTTATTTTGTACAGTACGCTTGAAGAACCCTGTTGTGATAAAAAGGAGGAAGAAATATATTAGTGAATGGTAAGGAAAATTATAACACTATTTACCTTTACAAGATTCACATGTTGGTAGGCCATAGTGATACCCAGATACTTTGTCGCCACATATGGGACAATTTTCGCAAAGTAACAGTGAGGATGGCGAAGAAAGATCTGCAATACTCGAGGAAAATGAGGTATTTTTGTTATTGTTAGCAGAATGCAATAAATAATTATTGATGTTGTTAGGACTGTTGTGATGAATGTTATTTAAAAGATCCTGAGTTGCATGATCAGATGAATCGATGCATGAGGAATCATCCATGATCACATTATTGCTATTTTGACTGGTTGTAAGTTGTAATGTTTGAGCGTGTTCAGCAATAGACAATAATTTAACAGAAGGCGGTGTCGATGTATCCGAAATAGTCGAAGGTGCATTAAACATATTTTTAAAGGGAATAAAATGTCCAAGAAGAAAAGGATTAAAAGAAGTTAGATAATCCCATTGAGCATTTTGATGACTGCAGGAAGATAATTGAAGAAAACTACTTTTTAGCTTCTAAATAAATTCTGCTTAAGTCATCAGTAGTTGAAACGTGAAGTTTAAAAATAAAGAAGAAAATCACACGACAGATCCCTGAGATAGAAAAATGTTGCATCCAAACCTATAAGAAAACAAAACGGGGAACACTGATATTGTAAAGCAAACAAAAATACACACAAATAAACAATGCTTCTCAATATAAAGAATAAAAAATGGATCAAAAACTAACAACACTAAGGAAAAACGTCAGAAAATACAACAAAAGTACTTCCTGAAAATCGGTAAATGCTGTGCACAAAATGAAATAAGAATGTGCAGTGATGGATGGCAAGGGAAGATAAAGGACGACTACATAATTAAATGCGCCCAGATCAGCGCATTCCACCTTTGCCTTAAATGTATATTAAGCTTATGTAGTAGAGATTTAAACTAATAAATATACTCATTGGAAACATGAGTGCATTATATTTTGCTCAGAATAACAATATGGCATAGTACAAGAGTTACAGTTATTATTAAGATGGAGAGTCAGACTAAAGAATTATTATCAGAACTTAAGCTTAGGACGCCCACTACTCCTTATCTTGAAATCCCGTCTGTTACATCCCCACACAACTTTTCGACCACTTTCAATGGTCTATTTGTGAAGCGTAGTACGAAAATACGCTCCTGCCTTATTTATGAAAGCACTACGAACTCTGAGGGTGAAAAAGTATATCTTAAAAAGTCAAACACCTAGAAAAACGTATGTGAGATCCAAGTAATTAGTCGTTCACTTAAGCAAAATCCTCACACCTAACGCTGGGTAGTTCGTACCGATAGCTAACATACGCTGACAGTTATGTAAATATGAAGGCAGAAAGAGCATATTTAGTGGACGACCCAAAGCTGCTAATAAAGAAACCTTCTACACAATAAGCTGAACATACAAGCACACGCTGTAGATGTTTCCCAGTTATTTTCTGGTCTTTTATTTCCCTTCTCAACAATAAGTGCGCAGTTCAGTTGGCTTGTTCCTAAAGCTTCTTGATAGTTTTAACTTGACCAATATGAGACAGCTTGGTCTTATTGATCTATCAACACAAAAGTAATTGTTCTAACACAGTAGCATTGGAAATAAGTGTTAAGTTAGAGAACCCGGGTCTCCAATAGTACAGACAGGTTACGCAAAATAACATTGGTAACCTATCTGGAAAAGGCATTTATTCCGGAAAGCATGAACCAAAATTTGAAATCAACTTAGAAAGTGTAGAACTCCGCATTCTTACTAACAAAGCTGCTTACCACAGGGCTAAAACCTATTGTCCGTACATTGTTGAATCCTACCCAGAGCTCATTAAATCGGCACAAATCAAGATCTTTGCTGAGTAACGCGAAACTAGGTCGCTTTACGTCTCATATTTATCGAAATACTTCGAAATGACTTGATTTCTATTTCTTGAGTTGAACGTAGTGCACTACATAAGAAAATGGACGAGCGACTAAAAAATTGATAAAAGATCACTATTTTCGCGTAACTTTCTGTCGAGAGTTTAAACCTAATTTTAACTAGCCGATGATGACACTTAACCGAATGAGTACAATGTATAATCTTGGCACTAGATAAACAAAATTAATAAGATGCAGCAAATGTTGTCGTCAAATTAATTGTCAGTAGAACTCAAGCAAAGTGCGTTTACTGAACTATTAAAACTCGAATCTGAAAATTATTGCAATGTGCACATACTAATAACCTCACATGTTAATCTACTCGCACAACCTTTTAAGATCCCTGTTGCGGCATTTTCGGAAAGGCCTCCAACAAATGAAGTGTAATTGTTCAATGAAACCCACTGACATTACTGTTTCAAGATGAATAGCACGATATCCCACAGAGTTGCCGAAATCCGCGTGGATTAATTTAACTGAAATGCTGAGATACCACCTGAAGTTCAAATGAACTAAGAGCAACATAAAGTTGGTGAATACATGAATACCAGCAAGAGACGTTTAGCAGATGCTGACTTGAGAGAATGTCCAGATGTAGCCGCCTTTTAAGCGCTTATTCAGATACTTATTATATCTTTTGTACCAGTAAATAATTCCCCAAAATTATTGACCACAGCAATCATCACTGAACATCGGTTGCTGACCCTCACTGTTTAAGTCGACTTGTTTGGCTGGAGGCTTCCGGTCAAGCATCGTTGCCATTTGGTACTCCGTCGTGTCACGTGCGTGCATGATCACTAGCTAGTCAAGCACTCGATGTGGTTTACTATTTGGTCCCGAAATATATCACGTACTTTGGACGACTAAATCTGGTCTTTTGCTTTGTATTTGGTATACGAGAAACGAATACTTTAGAAGTTGTTGGTATAAGATCTTGCGTTAGTATAATCCGTACAATTCACGAACGTCGACAACGTTAGCCTCTAGACTGGTTAGCCCACCCGCGAACTTAGTCTTCAATAAAAACGCAGATAAACCCAGTGAGTTCGTTCCTTTTTGTGTTTGTTCTTGTACCGTATTTTAATCTGAATGCACTTCGTCATGAGTGATCGTAGTCCCAATGTTATTCGTATTCGCTCAACTGCCAAAACCATTCAGCTCGTACCATATCGGCCAGTTAATTCTGAGACATGGTTTCAGATAGCTGAGTCTGATTTTTGTGAGGATGGGATAACTGATCAACGTTCACAGTTCATTGCAGTTATTCACGCCTTACCGCGGGAATTCAGCAAGTGCGTAACAGTGCAGATGTCGAGTTTGGAGGTAAGTAACTCGTACGAGTTGCTCAAAGCATCCCTCCTCAGGAGAATCGTTCTCACTGATTGACAGCGTCTGGATGAATTATTTCGTAACATCGAGTTAGGGAATCAGTCAGCCGTGAGCATGTTGGCAAGAATGAGAGAGACAATTGGCCAAAGTCAGTTCGACGAAGGACTATTCAGAGAAATATTTTTATCCAAACTTCCACAGTCAGTTCAGACTGTACTTGTGACACTTCAGGGTGTTCTTATGAATGACTTAGCTATTTCTGCAGATAACATGCTGGAAATAGCTAAACGGTCAGTTCCTGATATATGCTCGGTGGCCAAACAGACTTCGAGTAAGGATACTGCAGTGGTAGAGTTGTGCAACTCTATCAAGCAGATGCTTAGGTCAAACATGCCTCCTAATTCCTCCTACCGTCGTCCAAAATCCCCTCAACGACAAAACGCATGTGGTCGCTCTAAGTCCAAGCCACGTTCGATGAAAAACCCGGACTGGTGCTGGTATCACAACACCTATGGTCAGGAAGCGAAATGTTGCCACAAACCCTGTAATTTCGGCAATGTCTCAAAGTCTGTGTGAAACTAACCCGCCGGCAAGCGTTAGCCGCAACCGTCGCCAGTGGCACTAGCCACCCACCATACATCCATGATGTGATAAGCCAGACTCAATATTTAGTCGACACAGGCGCCGAAGTCAGTGTCCTTCCTGCTACAGCAGCAGATCGACAGAAGGAACCCACCTTCAACTTACAGGCTGCAAGTGGAAAACAAATTGCAACCTTTGGCAGGAAATACGTCTAAATGAACGTAGGTTTACGCAAACCTATCCAATGGATATTCTTTCTCGCTGACGTCACAATGACAATCATTGGCACGGACATAGTTAATTATCATGATGCACACGTAGACGTCCGCCGAAAACAAATGATTGACAATGCTACTAGTCTGTCTATAAAATGCATCAACTACATAGGCCCAAAAATGTCAATTGCTAAGATGAAAGCAATAGTCAATCCAACTTTTAAACCCATTCAATCAAAATTCCCGTTCGAACATTAATATTCAGAAGACAAGTAGTTCAGCGAAAAGTCTCTTTTCGGCGAATTCATTTTCGTAGCTGTACAATCTCAAATATATATGGTTGTTTTGTATTTGTGTGTACATTAAATTTGTCAAACGAAAATACAATTAGTAAGTTCAGATGAATTGGATGTTGATATAAGAGGGTAGTAACAAAAGTGATGAGTTGTCACAAACGATTGTTAAAGAAGAGTTACATAATAACATGAATAGTTTGATGAAAGAGTTGTACTCAGGGTGTACATGGAAACGAAATAGACGGAATTACACAAGGGTTTTAAGTAGAAAAATAAGCAAACAACAAGGAGACATTTTAGGATGCTTGCTTAACAGACAGGCTATTGGGTCTAAATCCGAAAGCTTGCTTTGGGTTACATCCAGTAAAGACTTAACCTGGCCAATATCAGAACCGCTCTCCGTGATATTTGACATTGGCAGTGACATTCTATCAAACTGACCTAATTTTTCCTGAAGTTCATTTACTCGCCTTTGGATATCTTTCACAAGGAGGTCTAATTTACAGATCTCAGAGTTCTCTAACAGAATATCTTTCATCTGTATCACAGGAGTGAGAATTACACTCAAGCCATTTTGTGAGCTGGTAGTTAATGCTGTATTACAGGGTGGTAATGCAGTTATAACCGAGGTTGAGGCACTATCTAAAACAACTGTGTTTCTACGAACACGTTTTTTAGAAATTTCGACCATAATTTCAAGGATTATATGACTATAAGCAGTAAATGAATATCAGAGCAAACACGTGCAAAAATGTCACCAATTTCGAACGTACCGCCAGATGTTTTAGTTAGTTGATCAGCCTATTTGGGTATAGTATGGATAAGTAGAGTGAAGCTCTTTTGTTGACAGGAACTCGTTAAGGAGAAGCTGGAATTCAGTAGGAGGTCGGCAACTACGTACAGTAAGTGGAAGTTCGCTTCATAATGCACTGTACTGAATTTTGAAGAAACGTGATCACAGTTTTGTCCGGTACCGGGTTATAGATGGAGTATTTTCACGATTCCTAAGAGTATATATGGTTGTATTGTTGAAAGCTATTGGATTACTGCTTTTGATGTAGCCGTGTAAAAGGCGAAAGAGGAATGTAAGGTTGAGTTTCAGGCGCCTTAAACAAATTGGATAAAGTCCATATTTTTTCACCTATCCACGTAAGTCAGTCCCTTATGTTTGTGTAATAGGCGTCGTGTAAAACTTCGATGAATATTTTCAGTGTGAGTTCTATCATACCCATGCATGAACCTGAGGACAGTTGTGCAGTATTCAAGTACTTGACGAACCGTGACTTTGTATAAAAGGACTTTAGCCTCAGTTGTGTGAATTTTCCGCTGTAACAAGCCTGTGAGTCTTCGGCATTCAGAAACAAGTGATTTCGCGTGCTGACTGAATGTTAAGTTTTGTGAGTAGGTAGTTTCCAGGTCTTTTATGAAACTGAGGGTTTGAAGAAAAGGGTCACCCGAGTGTAAACAAAACTTCGGATGGGAGTTATTGTAGTATAGGAGACCACATTTATCAGAATTGAATGGCAGTTGCAGCCATTTCTCCGGTCATTTAACCCATCCAGATCATCTTGAATATGTGTGAATCCCTCGTTCAAAGTAGAATAGGGGAAGCTGTATACAATCTTCAAGTCGTCAGCAGAGAGGTACGGGGTACCATGTTTGATTACGCTGCAGATGTCGTTAATGTGGATTACGAAAAGCAATGAACCTAGTACACTACCCTGAATCACTCCACTTCTTATAGGTCTGGGTGACGAGTAATTATTCGCAAATTTCACAACTAGGGAACGATCTTACAAGAAAGAAATGAGCCAGGATAACAAGGGGTCCTGGAACCCGTACGACATTAGCTTAGGAATTAATCTCTTGTGTGGATTTTTATCAAAGGCTTGTTTGAAGTCAAAGAAGAGAGTTGTGACAAGCAAACCGCGACCACGCTTAACAGTAACATCGTCAAAGTAGTCAAGTATGCAGGTGGAGCATGATCGACTTTTCAAGAAGCCGTGTTGTGCTGGAGTAAATACTTTGTGAAGGTGGAGGTATGAAGCAATATCTCGCCCTATGACTTTTCCATAACCCTGGAAACTACTGACGTGATATTGATCGGTCGGTAGTTTTCGATATTAGAAGTTGGTCCTAGTTTGTGCCTAGGGGTTATGAAAGACAGCTTCCAGCACTCTGGGTAACTGCCATTATTTAAGGACAGGTTGGAAAACTTTAGGAGGATAATGGGTATGTCCTCACCACCGCTTTTCAACAAGATAGATGGAATTCCGTCAGGTCCGGCATTATATAATGTCCGGAGGGGTGCTATATGGGATTGGAGTGAATGTTATATTACCCAAAAAGTGATTTGGTAGTGTCGGAACATCAAGACTACCTACTGTTTCTTCGTTAGTAAAGTAGCTAGAAAAGTGGAAGCTGAATAACTCGCATATCTCCTGCGGGTCTTCACATAGTTTTTCTTCATCTAGTAATAAGTTAGAGATACTTATTCTGTTGTTGTTAATTCGTGACTTAATTAGTTTTACCAATGCCTCTGTATTATCGGATCGTGAGTGGAGGATGCGTTCTAGTTTGATGGACTCAGATTACTGGTTAGATATGTATGAATCATAAGTCTGCTTGAGTGTAATGAGTGATGAAAAGTCACTACATCTGTAGAATTGCCTAGCATGCTCACGCAGTCGGTTTGGAATCTTTATGGGGATGAAGTTGGGCCGTTTAGGCCTCGTTTTCACAAGTTTTACTGGAGCGATGAAGTCATGAGCAAATCCTAGGTTTTCATAGAGTAATTTGTTTGTCTCTATAGCCGAAGTGCATGTAAAGGATGGCTCCCAGTCTAGAGTCAGTAGGTATGGCTTCAGGTCATCCTACTGAGCGTGTCTGTAACCCCTGAGTAATACTTTGTTGGCGCTTATTGTTGAACTCATGCTTGCGTTAATATTGAATG